AGTGGAGGAAATGAGGGACTGAAAGGTCATCTTGACGATACACCTCCTTTTCACTGAAAGGTCAAAATTCATGTACTTGAATGAGAGAGAAATATTGCAAAACAGGCAGCCATAGTCTTTTGCAAATCTCATGGAGTCCTCTCAGACATGGACATGGAGAAGAGAAACAACATCCCATTGTAGATGGCTACCAAGGGATCCTCTTCTCTTAAAGGAAGGGAAAGCAAACATTGGATGGAAATTTTCTAGGTAAAGATTCATCTATTTCAGAAATATCTGAAAAGTCAAACTAAAATGTTTCTAGACATAATGGGCCAGTATAGTACAACACTTCATATCTATTTATGTTTCAAATATAGTATGTTTACTGTACATGAAGTAATTTTTTTTCCAAAGCCGTTGCTATAGCTACAAATCAAGGAAACCATAGCAACAACCCTGTATCATGTACAGCCTGAATTAGGGATTAAGTTGTGTCTCTCTTTGCATTTTATATTAAATACTCCTGTACAACCTAGTTATAGTAATCTTAAATTTTTTTAATACTTTTTAATAATACAAATTCCATAGTACTATACTGTCAGACACACAACACACTTGAAATATGACTTTACAGCATCATTCTGATCACACCTAATAATAAATACGGCGGTGTTTTTTTTCTTGAGATAAACACAAATGTTCATATCACCATATATCCTGATCTTCCTTAATACAAATCATTGATCATTTCACCTTTAACCACCAAGTAATTGATTTTCTATCATGTCGTAAGGTTTTCAAGTTTCATCCTACTGAGCCGTACCCCAAAAGAAATCAGCTCCTCCTAACTTCATCTTTTTTCCTATGGATTAAAGCCTTGGTTTGGTTTTTGGTTTTTTTTTTTCCCACAGGAAGCACATATGCAGGGGAGAGACAGGAAAGGCAGAGTACTAGTTCACCTACATTTTCTAGCTTCCCTGTCATGTCAGATGACTGGTTGGGTTGGTGGTAAATGACTCTAATTGTTTTGTTGACCTTGTACATGTACTTTTTAAGTACACTGAGAAGTTGGGATTGGAAAGCCTCGGCATGCTGCATGCAGCCATGCTTCAGAGGAAGCCCAAGAGGAACATGTAAAGGAAAACAGAGAATAAATGTGAAGAAAAGAAGGAAAAGGATGTTGGAAGTGGCTGAGAAACAGAAGGGAGTGCTATCAGACAGCAGGAGACATGTATGACCCAGCGGTACGACAGGCTTCAAAAGACACACTAGAAGACTATGAACACATTCAACAGGTGTGCAAAGATTCTCTCACCAAAAGAGAAATCAGAAAGACAAAATTCATGTCTTTAGAAGCCTTCTCTCCTATCTCCCCTTCCATCACATAATTTTCTGATAATTCATTATGGTATAGTTTCCTTACCTTTTGGTCCTTGCCCATTGATGAGATGGGCTGTGCTCCACTTTACAAAAACCTTGCCATGTTTGTTTAGGGCATTAGCTGTACTAGACCTTCTGCTTATGTCCTGGCTTCATCTGTTACAGTTTTTTTTTTTCTCCTTCCTAGTAACAGGTGCAGTGCTGTGTTTTGGGTTTAGTCTGACCACAGATAACACACTGATGTTTTAGTTCTTGCTAAGTAATGCTTACCCTGATGAAGGACTTTTCAGTCTCATGCTCTGACAGTGAGGAGGGGGCACAAGAAGCCAGGAGAAAGCAGAGACAGGACACCTGACCCAAACTAGTCAAAGGGGTATTCCATGCCACAGCACGTCATGCCCAGTATATAAACTGGGGGTAGTTACCCAGATCGCTGTTTGGGTCGGGCTGGGTATCGGTCAGCAGGTGGTGAGCAATTGTATTGTGCATCACTTGCATTTATTGCGTTTTTTCCTTTCTTCTTTTAGTTTTACATTCTCTCCCTTTGTTACATCCCTTATCATTAGTAGTAATAGTCTTCTGTCATATTTTAGTTATTGGACTGTTCTTATCTCAACCTGTGGAGTTTACATTCATCAGCAGAATGCTGGAAACATACACTGTGCCCCAACCTCACTGCCCAGAACACTATCCTGGGCCTTGAGAAACAAGTCTTATGGCAACACAGCACCGCAGAAAGAACTGAGTCAGACAAGGGGACTCATTTCCAGAATAACCTCATAGACACTTGGGCCAAAAAGCACAGCATTGATTGAGTATATCACATCCCCTATCATGCACCAGCCTCTGAGAAAATCAAACAGTACAATGGACTGCTAAAAGCTACATTGAGAGCAATGGGTGGTGAGACTTTCAAACATTGGAAAACATTTTTAGTAAAAGCCACCTGGTTAGTCAACAGTAGGGGATCTGCCAACAGGGCTGACCCAGCCCAGTCAGAAATTCTATGTAATGTAGAGGGGGATACAGTTCCTGTGGTGTGCACAGTCTGCTGGGGAAGACAGCCTGGGTTATTCTTACTTCAGCAAACACACTTGTGGTACTTGGGGGGTAAACGTGGGAAGATGGGGAAGTCTGGTGTGTACCTCATGGAGATTTAATTTTGGGTGAAAACAGCCAATGAACCCAATTATATGCTGTTGACTCCTATATAACACTTCTACAGCAGCTAAATACCCATCTCCACCTTTCTGGACTTTGAAAAGAAAATATGTGCTGTCATGATCATCAGCAGAGAGTAAAGTCATGGGAAAATCAGGCAGCAGCAGCGGGAGTCTCCCAGTACTGTCATCGGATCACAACTGACTGAAGTCAACTTCCCTCCGATCATCACCCCAACAAAGAATGAACTTTGATGAAATCAGATGAGCTCAGCGGTGACCAGATGAGTTCAGCGGCAGCATCAGCAGGCAACAATCCAACATTACACACCGTCTCTCCTGCCCTGAAAAACTGTTACAAGAGATGGAGCCCGGGATTGTGAACTGAATGCCATATCTTACATACCATAGCTGCATAAAAAAAACCCTAAAAAAGAATATCTTAATCCTGTGAAATGAACATAAATTCAATGTCTTTGGCATTTACAGAGAAATGAGAGATCTGTGGTTTTAATCTCCATGGTTTCATTCTCAAATCTCAATTTGAGAATTGCTGGTCATTTTAATAAAAATAGTATACAAAAGCTTATTTTATAAAGCAATCTGTGTTACAAAAATTGTAGTCTGAGAAAGCTGTGAGTGTGAGTTAGGAACATGAGCAGTGTAAAAGCTTTGCACATGGGCTGCACAATGAAACTTCCCTCACACAGGGAATAATTAAGTGAAAAGATAGTGCATTCACGATTAGCAAGGCATGTTCAGTTTCTTCATTACAATTTTAATTAGCAAATATTAATGTAATCTGCAAATACAAGGGGGAAAACAATTAAAATTACTAACTCTAAGGAGTCCTTCATGACCTCAGCTAAATTAAGACAAATGTCTTACTAATCAATACTGGTCACCAACTTTCAGGACATTCATTTCCATTTACTGTTAGAACTTCCAAGCGTGTTATCAAATTTAAGAATGAATTAAGGCTCCCACAAGCTAAATCTAACCTCTGATGAAGGCAATGGTGAATAAAAATAGATTAGCATGCTCCTCTCCTTTCCACTTATCAGTTCAGACTGATAGTGATCAAGTGACCATGGCAGCTCTACCTCATTCAGATTCCATGCCTGCCTCTGTGGCAATAATCCAGGGACACACAGAACACTATGCCCTCTCATTTTTAGTGTGTTGCTGGTCCTTTTCTACCTAAGATATGCTGCCTGGAGCCTTAGCCGTTTTGAACTCAACAGCAGCTCCCATTCATTTCACTGGTACTAGGATTCACAGCCTGACTCAAAGAGATTTCCTTTTGGGTGTTTGTCCTTTTTCTGCACTGTAGATAATGTACTTTGGCCCCCAATGTATTCAGTGCTGCATCTCATATGGGCAACAATTAAAAGCTACAGAAGTTTTAAAGAAGCTGCCTCCTAAAAACTATACCCTCTCTCATTCTGATTTTCATACTTAACACTCTAAAGGTAAAATAACACCTAACTTGTCCAATACACTTTTAGAACTGAATATGCTGAAGCAGTAAAGTGTTTTCATTATCTATAAAAGCTGCTATGTGAATGAATTTCATTCATGAATATAATAATTGTAATTTTATAATGAAAAATAAGTAGCAGGAAGTGGAAGTCTGATAGTATTTCTCATGACTGACAGTGCTACCAGAAACAATATTTAGAAAGGCTTAATTTTTGTTACCTTATTTTGCATCTGTTATAACAAGTATGCAGAAAGAGAGAGAAAAGTCTGGGGGAAAAGCACCACTACCACCAAAGCACAACCACTTCATTAGATATTCTGCCAACTACAACAATTTAAAGCAGGAGTCTCTGTAAAATCTTCTTTTATCACACAAGCAAGTATTTTCCAAATCAGATAGAGAGCAAAGCATTGTAAAATACAGACTGGAAATATGTACCTGGCTTTTGAATAGCAATCAAGTGTTAATGTAACAGTTTCACAAAAATTCAGTAATCTCTAGCTTTATATAATTTCTACACTCACATATGTTCATTTCACAAATGAATGTTCATTCACAAATGAATTCCCTTTTCCTCTTCCATGCACATACAAACACAAATAAACTACTTCTTTCCTGAGTCTCCCACACAAAATTAAACATTTTTAGAACTTTATTACAAACACGCAAAGGAAAATCTCCTTTAGAGTTAAAGAGACTGAAGGCTTGAAATCAATCTAAAGAAATTCTCTTGCTTGTATAAATACCAGTTTTTGTTGCAAACAGGCATGATTTTGAGGCTAGCTCACTGCTCTCTCCACTGCAGACATGAAAGAAATTTTAAACATTCAAAGATCACTTCTACGGTAGCACACTTTAAAAAAGACACTTTGCTCAGAAACATGGGTTGCTTTAAGTTTCTACACTAGGCAGGTTGGTAGAAAAGCTGTTACATGAGATCAGAGAAAGAGAAATCTTCTCATCCACTTTACTGTGCTCTTGATACCAGGGCTTACCTCTTGTGTTTTCACATTTATATATCCATAATGAGTTCTCAGAGGCTGCCTTTGGCCATTAGAAAATGGTATCCATTTGACACTGGTTTGTCCAAAGCAGTTCAGGATCAAAGGGAAAGTTACTTCATTTGTGAGACGAACAATAATCAGACAGAGGAATGCAGCAACGAAACTCACAGCAACAATGGACTTTCTCTGTAATGAAAACAAGAAAAAAATAATTTTTCAAGTTAAGACTTGGTTTTAATAAAAAATATATACTTTCTATTATAAGATAAAGGAAAAAAACTTTAGAAAGCTTTATGTGAAATTATTTTCATGATAGCCACCGTACAGCAGGAGCACAAGACAACAGGTGACCGGATCATTTTGTTTCAATTTTCATTTCAGAGTTTTTTAAAGTTTCTTTTAGAACTGGCTGGAAATGAATCCATTTTGATTAAAAAAAAAAAAAAAAAACCAAAACACAACAGCTTTTTTTTTAAGTTTCAAAAAACATCTATTCGTTTTAAATTTTATTTGTATTTGGAATGAAGGTTTTATGTAAACATCCACACTGAAGTCTCCATTCCAAATCTTCAGTGCTCTAGACACAAGACAATTGCACAATGTGAAAATGCCATCTGCAGCCACACCACACAAAGTTTACTGTGAAGATCACTACAGATTGTATTTATTGTGCAACAGAATTCCCGTGCAACAGAACACATGCTAGAACCTTTAATATTAGAAATTGTTGCTAATGTAGAATAAATGGTTGGTGGAACCAGTACAGCATTCTACCTTATTCCACGTTTGTGAATTTATGAGGTAAGGTATTACTATCTCAGACATGACCTCCACTGTTAATAAGGTGACAGATCTGAAGCCTGGGTGCAATTAGCCTTAGCTTTCCACCTCTAAGCTATTCAATTGGTCGCACTGGTGCATATAACCACAGAAAGTTACCAACTTTTTCCTAGGGTAACTCCCCAGTCTGCAGGAGGAAAAGTTCTAAGGAATATGATGTTCCCCTCACTTTTAGCTATTTTCTAAATACTGCAGTATTTAGAAAATACTTTTAGAAAAATGACTTAAGGACAAAACATGTTAGTTGGCATATGTAAAGATTCTCGGTATGATACGCTATCATAAAGGTTATTTTTAAATTCTCCCTGACGGAATGGAACAGTGATCATTTAGGTTGTTTTTACTGTACTTTAATTACATTCTAGATTTACATAACTTACCACAGTTTAATCACCCTACTGAATGTAATTTTATCCTTCTAAACAGTAACATACACAGAAAATAGAGGGGAGGGGAAATTACTGGCCTGAGGGCCTACAGATCTATATAATAACACTTAATGCTGGATGACAGAATCTGATCACCCCAATTCCTGTCTATAATACCATCAACCAACAGGAATCAGCAGAATGAATGTGTAAGAGCAGTTTTGTACATGATGGCAATAAAATCACTGTGCTACAATGGTGATGGAGGGGTGAAAGACAAGCTCCGATTGCAACCATGTAAGATGAATCTGTTCTTTGCCTGGAGGTTCATTTGACAGTCTGCAGAAACTAAAATTCAACATGTTGAACAAAAGAAACAATTATATTTACCCAGAAAACATCCTGAGAAATATGCAGACAAAGTTTTACTGAACTTGTGCATACAAGGCCTATGTGCCCATGTCCAAGGCCTAAGAGCACTGCTGCCATATTTTGGTTCAGTTTCTGGACACAGAAACAGTGAGAATCACTGGGAGTATTACTTTATTCCCATACACAACAGTTAAGTAAATAGTACGTTATGGGGGTCAATTGAATAGCTTTATCTGTTTTGGTGTATTAGGAGCCTGCAATTTATAAAATAAAAGCAATGAAAGACTGAGCTGGAAAACTTGGGTGAATGAGGTCACTCTGAAGAGAAATGGAAGAGGATCATGAAGAAGAGTAGTACTGTGGCAACATGACTCAGTGAGGAATTTTAGTCAGCTAATAGCTGTGCAATGTAAAATTAAACCCAGGAAATCTTCAGAGGGCAGTGCAGCAGCCACAACCCAATCACAGCTTTCAGAATTCATGGAAGCCACTGTGCTTCAGCTGCATTATAACAGATTTACATTAAATTGCAATAAACTGGCTGGGGAGCCCTTCTGTGTCACTTCTCTTTGTACCAGATGGAGTCAGAAATATTTAGCTATGTATCAGGGCCTTGTAAGTGTTAAGAGCAGCCATGATGTGCAGCACAAGTGCTAATCATAAAGCAGTGAGGAGGAGTGTAGATTAGTCATATTATTTATTACAAATCAGAATTAAATCATTGCAAATATTTAAAGGGGAATCTAGAGTCTCATTCCACTACATGAGCATGCTTCAATCAAAACTTCCACACCAGGAAGCAGTAATACTGCCTTGTATACCACTACCTGGTTTCCACATATTCTATCTTCCTGATTTGTTGAATACCATTTTTTTTACTACTTTTATTTTGTGCAGATATGTTCTGAACTTGAAAACATTGCAATCAGCTTTGTGTGCTTCTCACAGGGAACTGTTCTAAAGGGCCTCTGCCCCGTGAAGAATTCATACTGTGCATACTGTGCAGCTAGATTTCATGGCCTTCATTACAATGCGATCTGATTTTTATATTTCTTCTTCTTAACTTCACTGTACTACAGAAGGAAAGAAAAAAGTGTGGCCTTTTGTTTTCTTAGGTAAGAAAATCTTGTTTGAAAAAAGAAATCAGCAAAGATTTTTGTGTGTGTTGGTTAGTCAGAAGGAACCTGCACAACCTAGGAACAGTGCAATCAGAGAAAGGCATTTTTACAACAGAAAGGAATCAAAGCATCTGTTACAACTGTTTTGGAAAAGAAAATATAACCATATGAAAACACAGTGTCTACTTATCAACTTGAACAAAAGAAGCTTCTGTTCAGTATTCAGGTCCCCTGTAATTTTTGTTAAAGCCATGAGATTCAACAATATGCACTCTCTAAGGAAAAGACTACTGCAAATGAATTTCAGTGGCTCCATAGGTTTCCATGTAAAAATATTGGAAAACAACAAAACACCTACTTATCATAATGTTAACCTCCTTATGCATCAACTAAGGCAGCCTGCTCAGTGGCCAAGAGTATTCTAAAGGGCACATCTAAAAGTAATTTGCTCCCCTGAAGTTCCTCCATACTTTACCTGCTCAAGAAGAAAAAAAAAAAACCAACAAAAACAAAACCTGCTATTTGTCAGTAAGTGCTTCTTGAAAAATCTCCCTTTCTGCACATAAACAGATTTTTGTTGTCCTTCCTCTGATAAAACTTAAAATTTAGCATTGAAGACACCAGGAATTCTACATGACATCAGGGTATGACAGAGAAATATGAAGCTATATACAAGGATGAGTACAAGACTAACATCTCAAAATTCATCTGCATCAATACTCTAAATAGTTGCACATCCTACCATTTGGGAGAGCCAAACCAATATTAATTAGCAAGTCTGCACAGAAACAAAACTTATTCCTTCTTAATTTTCAGTTCTCATGAATGCAAATAGTCTCTTAACAAAAGAAATGTTTCCTCTAACATGGAAACATCCTCTGCTTAAATCTCCATTGATATTTATATATTTCTAGTTAATTTAATGTAGATATTTTGATGTTGCCAACATTTAAATTAAAAATGTATATTCAGTTATAAACACGTTTTATACATATTAAGGGGTACACAATAAGATATATTTTAAACAGTTTCTTAGCTGGATGACTTGCATGGTATATTAGCTATTAGCTTTTGTAACATTTTAATTCATTCACTATAGTACATGACTAGACGACATAGAAAATTACCATACTTATGAATGCAGGATCCTATAGCAGAAGAGCAATGGAGTTTATGACACTACGTACGTAACTGCTCATTTGTGGTATAAAAAGAAATAATAATAACAGAAAGGAGGAGATAAAAGTAGACACACTTCAGATCAGAGGGCCGGAGCACCTCTCCTGTGAAGACAGGCTGACAGTAGGTGTTGTTCAGCCTGGAGAAGAGAAGACTCAGGAGAGATCTCCTTCCCATACCTAAAGGAGACGTACAAGAAAGCTGGAAAGGGACTTTTTACAAGTGTATGTAAGGATAGAATAAGGAGGAACAGTTTTAAGCTGAAGCAGGATAAATTTAGATTAGATATTGGGAAGACATTCTTTACTCTGAGCGTGGTGATCCACCAGCACAGGTTACCCAGAGAAGCTGTAGCTGCCCCATCCCTGGAAGTGTTCAAGGCCAGGCTGGATGGGGCTTGGAGCAGCCTGGTCTAGTGGAAAGTGTCCCTGTCCATGGCAGGCAGTTGGATTTAGATGATCTTTAAGGTCCCTTCCAATCCATTCTGTGATTCTATGAACCTATGAATACCTGGAACTCTGCTGGGCAGAAAGCACACATTAGAACTAAACAGCTTCTTCTCAACCCTTCTTACTCAATCCCCATACTAATATAATGCCAGTTTCAGTTATTTCTCAGACACCAGGTTCATTCTGGCTAGTGTGTATATAAAAATCAATACAGAGTAGGCATGATTCACACTTCTAAGGCTTCAATTTTTATTTACATTGTTAAGAACAGAGATGAAAAAAAAAACGCCGGTTAGGACTTCATTAAAAACTTATAAGTGTATACATGTATATTTGGCAACTTGGTCCCTAACACTATTTATAACCTTCATATCATCTGGTTTTGGTTATTTGCCGGTGTCACGGTGATTCATTAACTTTAGTTGGTAAGAATGTGACAATCTGAACAAGTTTAAGTCATTTTTCTTTCATAGTCTATTAAAATGTGTGAGATAAGAATTTTTTTATAGTTCAGTAGTGCTTGATAGAATAAAAAGACACAAACATTTTTTGTGTTGTATACAGTTGTCTAGTGGGGAGGAAGAAAGGAAATATTTTCAGCATAAGAAGAGAGTTTGCCAAGTTGTAAATTTTACTGAGGTATGTACTAAGTATCTTTATTCCACCTTCTAGTCCAAGAGCTACTGTCTGCCACTTAGAATGTATTATATGGCAGAGACTATCAAACTTCACAAACAGTAATAAATCACCATCCTAGTGAGGTTAACAATAAAAGCCCATTTCACAGATGCATAAACTGAGGCCAAAGCAACTTCCCTAAGCTCACAAAGAAATCAACAGAAGCTACTCCTAAACTTTTA